CCAACTCAAGAACCTTTGGCCTGTTTGGGCCCCTTCCAACCAACAGCCATTTGCATTGATTATTTACTAAATCTCTCAGATCCATGGGACTGCCCATCCAGCCTTTGACCCATCCACCCATTGCTAATTAAACAGAAATCGACATAAATCCTCTATCAGCTCTCTGCATGAAACTCTCAGACGGTGTTCAGTTGACCCCAGAAGAGCATCTGAACCTGGGGGGTCCTCCGGCCCTCTCTCCCTGTCTTCTTCCCTCTCTGCGTCCAGTGCTCGGGCACACTGGCCCCRTCAACAGTCCTTGCGCACGTGGACAGCCGGCCTGTCTCTCGGGCCCCGACACCTGCTCACCTTCCACCCCAGCTGCTTCTTTTCAACCTCCACGTCCCAGATCTAGCGTCCCCTCCTCAGAGCCATGCCTCTTTCTCTGACCACTTCCTCCTAAGGACACTTTTCAACCTTCTTCCCAGTCCCTGGTGACGTTCAGCGAATCCCGCGTCACTTCTTTTCTCTCTCTGAATGTTGACCTTCCTCCCGCCTGCCGGGGGGCTCCGTGAGACTGGGGCCCCACGAGTCTACTCTTCAGGGAAGGAGGACAGGGGCCATGCAGGTGGCAGAGCACAAGGGGGGCCACCACGGGGCAGGTGGAGAGGAGGGAAGAGGGCCTCGGAGACACTGAGCCATGGCCACCRTTCCATCCGGGGGACCTAACAGGAGGGCCCACCATTGGGGTCCATCAGACGACTCTGTCCGTGGGATCCATCGGGAGACCCTTCCAGGGGGACCTAGCAGGCTCCCTTGTGGAAGACGTCCGGAGCTTCTCTCTGTGGGACGGGTCGGGAGCTTCTGTCAGTCAGTGGGAAGGCTCTTTCCACTAGGCTTTCTGAAGGTTCTAAGTCAGTGGCTCCCAGACATTCAAAACCCTTGAAGGTCTACAGAAGAAAGGTTTCCGGGGTCTCTAGGAACACAGAACATGGACCTTCACATCGTCCCCGAGAGCTCGCTGGCCAAGAGGAGGTCATCAAAACCCTTTAAGGGAAACCGAACACGGAAAYCCAGGACCACTGCTCGGCTGGCTGGGCCTCCACAGCTGTCAGCAGCCCCTCGCCCAGGGGAGAACCCCTCCCCTCTGAGTCCCAAACACGTTAAACCAGGGGGCAAGCCRGGGCCCCAGGGAGAGCCGTGGGCCGGGCCAGGACAGGCTGCACGCAGGCTGCTCCAGGTCCACTCCCCCGCCYAGCCCCGGCCACCTCCCTGGTGAAAGGACCCCTCCCTGCCTGAGCCCTGCCGAATTCAGAGAAAGTGCAGGAAYAGACACCCCCACAGACACAGCCGACGGTGCTGCCAGGCTCCTGGCTCCTACCCGGGGACCCGCGAGGCCCTGTCTCGCGTGCCGGTGTGCAGCCCCGGCAGTCACACTGGAGGGGAGGTCTGTCTGATTTATGAGTTACAGATGTAGTTCAAATTGCTGCACTTGAACTTGAGGTGATGCTGGAGTGAAATGAATGAGCCTGCTGCCTCCTGAGTGGGAAACAGGAACCCTTGTTTGCTGAAGTGCTTTGTCAGCTCTCCCGAGAAGTGTAAATACCGCTCGTTATCAACGCTTTCAACAGGGAGTTCAGACAAGCTGGGTGCCACTGAGACACAACGGGCCTGGGCTGGTGTCCCACCCCAGGGTTTGGGCAGTCCCACGGTTTGCTTCCAAGAAGAGGGTATCGATTCCACCCCATCCTTCAATACTCAGGGAGTGCCCTTAGCATGACCTCCCGGTGACTCCTGTCCTGGAGACTACTGGGGGGATCCACAGGGGGCAGAAAGATGGGCGAAACATGCTCATCCCTCAGACGCAGGTCGCAGGGTAGTGTTGACATCCCTCTTGCATCAAGAGGGCGGGCAGGCCTCCGGCCTCCCACACAGGAAGGGCTGCGGGGTGTGCAAAGTGGGGTGCCTCCCAGAGGGGGTCTAGAAAGTCTCCATGCCCCTCTTTTCCTTTTTTTTCTTTATCTGCCCAGGGGTGCTCTAGCACTGAGCCCTACATCCCCACCTGGCCAGGCTGGCCTCAGACTTGCCATCCTCCTGCCTCAGCCTCCTGAGTTGCGGGGATTACAGGCATGAGCCACCATGCGTGGCGTGCCCGACTTTTTTCTCTCCAGACTCTAGTCTATAAAGTGTGTAGGAGACAGAACCCATGCAACCACCACACTGGCCACACAGGAGCCCAGGGGCTCTCACACCTGCTCTTCAGAGAGCCCAGGTTTAGCTAGGGAGGTTCTCTTTGACTTCTCCTAACCAGGCCCCTTGACTGGGCCCAGTGTCCAGCCTGGTTGGGGCTCTCAGTGGCACYGGGGAGAAGGGAAACACCACAAGCTATTTATGCCTCAGAGGAAGTGATTGCCAACCCATCTGGATGACCATCCTACTACCCTCATTTGGAGGGATTTGGGGACCTTCCCCATGAAAACCGAGTGACTGCTGAAGGAAAACCCTCCGGCTTGTGTCACTGCTGGTGTGATTCCCTGTGTGGCCCTGGCCACACCTTCTTGTGTTGGGGCAGACACTCTTGGCAATTCCCAGTGGCTAGAGACTGCAGGGAGCACCAGCCAGGGAGAGGACGGAGAAGACCAGGCAGCGGACCTGTGGCTTTCACACCCCACTCTCCTTGGTGACCTCACGGCTTCTGTCCCTGATCCAGCCACCACAGGCCACCTCTGTGCTCATCACTAAGCCTCCATGCAGCCATACAGCACAGAAACCCCAGCCTCCCGCCAAGGCCCATGGCTGCTGACAAATGCCCTGGCCATCTCATGACGACGGCATCTAACAGGGCCCTTTGGCTCCGGGGGTTTCTCTGAATCCAGGATGACAACAAACCACCACCAACAAACCCCTCACTCTGCAGGTTGAAGAGGCGTAGCTCAGAACATGGGCTTCCGCGGAAGGTCTTTCAAATCCCTGGCTCAGGGCCTCTTGGCATATTGCGGAAATGAAGGGTCATCCCCTCGTCCCTGTACAAATGGATATCTACCAAATCCCAGACTTTAAGGCTGTAAGGTCTGGGAGAGTAGAGTCAGACTAGAGTGAGCCTGTAATGTGACCAGTTTGACAAGATGCTGGGGGTACTCGTGGCCAAGACTGTGGGCAGATCTTCCAGGGACCATGGTCAATCTTCATCCCCCATGCAGAGGAGCTGCTGACCATCCGCCTGCTTCGACTCTGCAGGAAGACTGGAGAGAATTTTCCAGAACCCCCAGCCACACATTCTGGKTTTCTACAATAGGGAAAAGACCCTTCCAAAAGTATTAAGGTGAGAACTGCTTGGGTGGACAGGGAGTGACGTTGGGGTGCAATGGTCAGCAGGGTGGGGGGCTGTTCAGCTTCTCATGCAGGGGCCTCGCATGTCAGTTGGTCAGCTCAGCTCAGGGAAGGCACCCACGAGGTGCCTGCTGCAGCCTCCTCCTGGTTCCAGTGACTTCAACCTTTACAGACAAGGAGGAAACCAAGCCCTGGTGTTCTAAAACCTTCTCAAGATACACAGTCCCATAACCCTAAACACCTAGGAAACACCTCCAAATGCAGCAGAACCCCTGAAAAGTACACAAGCGGAGGTGAGAGAATCTCTCCATTCATCTCTGCAYGGCCCTTTCTGAATTCTACTGCTCACTTCCTTAGCAAGGCTCGAAAGGCATCACCTTCAGRAACCACTCAGCACAGCTTTCAGTCATGATTTTTCTACCCAGAAGCAGGAGAGAAAGTGCCTTCTGAGCTCGTTAGCATCTACCTGGAAGCCAGAGAGTTCGTTTTTGCACACGGGCCCCTGTCACACCTCTGAACTGTAGGTACATAAAAGCACACGTAAATCCAGCATCTACAGGATCAAAAAGAATGAGATCTTACATTCATGGCAATCGGATAGCATCACTCTGTCTCTGCCCTCTCAAAGCCTCTTCCAAAAATGAATTCCAAGGGAGCAGATTTGGGATGAAGAGCCTTGACTGTGGGTTCAGCAGAGTAGAGAGGCAGCAGTCACTTCTGGGACTGACTCATGGCCATCCAATCCACCCACTCCGCTATGCCTCCTCCAGGAACGGAGCCACTTCACGGCAAGTGGTGCACTCTTTAAGACAAACTCAAGACCATACTCCTCTTAGAAATCCTGTTTTACTTTCTGCATGTCAACTGCTGTGGTACCAAAATCAGTAGGAATTTCCCATCATGCTCTGAAATCACCATGGCACCCTAGTGGCCATTTAAGCCACATGGGAGATCACAAAGGGGTTTGCATCTTTGGTGAGCTCTTTAATACCCCTGCAGACCAGCAGGGTTGAGCAGCAATAGCTAAGGATTCCTCAGGGTCAGAGTTCACAGAGTCAAATCTGCCTCTGCTGCTTCCGTGCTGAATAACCTCGGAAAGCAGTGTCTCTCTCTCCAGCTGGAACGCAGGAGCCAACGTGCACCCTGACGGGGTGGGGCTGCCCCGAGGGTGAGGTGCTGGTTACTGATCACTGGCTACTTAGTAACTGAGCAAGTGTTAGTGATGGATTGGGACTGAGACTTCTGTAGCTCTCCTGCACGTGTGATGACTGACACTGCAGTAGAGCCCCAGGCCGCATTGACCATGGACCATCCTGGACCCCCATGCTCCACGCAAACAGATCAAAGATCCTGAGAGATGACAAGCATGAAAGAAGTAGGTCTGGACACGGATCCCCAAGGAGGAAAATCCCCTTCCATGGCATGCATGTGCGTGCACACRYACACACACACACACACTCTCAAACACTCACACTCACACTCTTACTTGGAGGCAAAATTAAAACAAAGGAACACACTGTCAGTGAATGAAAACATGACTCTGGAAGTGGACTGTCCCACAGAAATAGAATGAAAGCCACCGGCGTGAGCCCCATGTGTCATTTTAGTGTTCACAGCAGCCATATTTAGAAAAGTAAAAAGAAACAGGTAAAATTTATTTTTATATTTTTATTTATCTTGATATAGTCCAACTATTATCATTTCAATGTGTGATTCACATACAATTATCAATGAAATATTTTACCTAGCTTTTGAATGCTAAGTTTTGGAAATCCAATGTGTTTTACACGTATAACCCATGGCACAGTGGCCCAGCCCATTTCAAGAGTTCAGTGCCCTGTGTCACTGGAGGTCATCAGAATAGTCTGGAAAACCTTCCCACCTGCTTTCTGTTGAACAGAAAGACTCCACTGAGCACCACTGTTTCCCAAGGTRAGATCTGCACACTCCTCTACGGCAATCTCTGGGGAAATTGTCAGAAGGCAGAATTTCAGGAACCTTCTCCAGATTCAAGAATCTGGGGGTATGGAATGGGCTCTGCATTTGCAATAAGTTTGGCATCAATTTTCACTCCTCCAAAATTTGGTAACTACTATTTCATGTTTTTATTAATTTTGCACTGATACACCATTCTCCTATTCAGGCTGATTCAGGGCTGCCTAGATGTCTTTAATTTTCACAAATAAACGGATGAGGATATTTTACTCTTATATTCTTGCATACAACAATCTCAGAACAGTGCTGTACACAGTAAGCTTATAATAAATGCAGTCGTCCCTTTTGCAGAGTTTCTTTGCTTGTATGCTCTGGTGGCACCCAGTACTTCCCCTGGCAAGAAACCCCGCACTTCATTGGAAACAGACCAATTAACCACAGATCAATTTGCTGAATGACAACTTTGCTGAATAAGCAAATCACCCAAATGCGGGGAAGACAGATGGGACTTGCTGAAGGGTCAATGAGAGGAATGGCCAATTTGGAAATTTCTTCTCAACGTTATCTTGAAGTTTTGTTGCAATCGCGTGCCTGTGTGTGCACATTGAGGGGAGATGGATGGACGGAAGAGGCCGCACACCCCCCTAGGCTCCTGAGCTTGACAGATACTGCTTTTACTATTTAGTAAACCTTGCCCCACAGGGGACAGTTGAGTGAGCTCCCCATAGGGGACAGTTTCAGCAGCTTTTGCAGAGGTGTGCACAGCTGCCTGCCCTTACACCACGCATGGGGCACTGTCTTGTGTTAACTGGAACTGGGACTGTGTCTCAGGTTTGCTTCTTGTGCCACCATGATATGGGGTTCTGGTCTTGCTACTGGAGAGAGCCCCAGCCTCCACCTGTACTCAACACACACACACACACACACACACACACACACACACACACACACACCATCCCAGCTGAGAACTTCTTATCTGGAACCGGCAAAACTGACTAGCTTGAATTGTCTGGTAGTTTTAGGGTAATTGATGTTCAGCCATGGATTCCCAACAACCACAACAAATGTGTCTGGTAGGCCGGCCTAGAGCACACTGCACCCGCTCAACCCTCTGTCCCTGTTATGCACATTAGGCTCTCTGGCCTGGCATCTGACCTAGGCCAAACCCTGCACCTAAAGAAGACCCCGCCCTGGACATAGGAGCCATCGGCCTACACCTGCTGCCCAACGGGGACAGGTCCAGTTAAGCAAACACCCTCCGGTGCCCGTGGGCTTCCTCAAGATGTTAGCAAAAGTGCCTTCCAGGGTAAAGATGGTACTTTTCTAGAGGAAAGAGAGCACAGCAGGAGAAAGGGGTCCCCCACYTGGAAGCAGAAAGTCAGGAAGGTCAGGAGAGAGGGGCAGTAGGGCCAGGGTGACCCTGTGAGTGAGCTTTGGCTCCTGAAGGCCTCCGGGGTGGCTCTGGGCTGGTTCAGACCTCTGGGTCTGAGCCTTTCCTTTTCTTTCTTGATCTTCAAAACCGGGATGATGCTACCATCCAGCTCCGCCGTCTGTCCTGAGACTCTGTCTTTACACACACACACACACATATCCGTCTGCTCGTGCACACATGTGCACAAGCATGCACGTGCCGAACGTGTCACACCTGCCAGTGTGGAATTTGCTCAGCAAACAACAGCACGTTCTTGCCACACCCTGAGGGATTCAGTCAAGCCTGTGCAGGGACCTTGGCTGCAGGGAGCAGGACTCACTCCCCACTGCGACTACAGCCTTGGCACACTAGGAAGTCACTCAGGCGGCCTCAGAGAAGAGGGAGCATGGACACCTAAGGCAGACTGCAGCTGCCAGCCTTCCAGCATGTCCTATCTGTTCTCCCATCAAAATCCAGGAAACCACTTCCTGAATTACACAGCCATGGTGCCCTCCCCAGCTCTGGTGGCTCCTCTCTGGACAGCTGCAAGAGCCTCCCTCCCTTCTGCTCTGACCATATGGCCATCTGGTCTCCACAAAGCATCTAACCAACCAATTAAAAATCTAAGTCAGATGCAGTGTGGCCCTCCCAAGCCCTCCCATGACACTTAAAGTAAAACTCCAAACATGTTCATGGGCGCCAAGATCCACCTGCTCCGAGCCCTGGCTAACCCTCGGATACCATCTCTAAAACACTTGTACTCACATGTTACAGCCTCACTGCGTGGAACTCTCAAGCCTGCCTCAAACCCAGGGCCTCTGCACTCACTGCCAGCTCAACCTGAATCACTCTCAACTTGGCAACTGTGGACCTGGCTCGTGCCTTCACCCAGGTCCCTGCTCCAATGTCGGTCCTCAGAGAGGCCTTCTCAGATCTGAATCTGACATGGCCTTTCACTCCAGGTTCTGGCTCTCCCCCGCTGTGTGGCTCATTGACCCTGTATAGCTTCATGGACAAGCGAACCCTGTGCTCCTTCAGATGCATGCTGGGATCTGCTCTCTAGGAGAAGGGAGATTCTTTCCCTGGGGTCTTCTCCCGACTTATGTAAGGCTGTGACCTCAGAGCTCAGCACAATTCCTCGCACACGACATTGGCTCCATAGGTTATGATGGACTCCAGTGAATTTCCAGCCTCTCATCCAAATCAGTAACTTCCTTTTCAATCTCCATTCTCATGCAGGACCCGACTACTCTGCTTCAGCCACCAGCCCAGCCTGGAAAAGTTCTAGTAAACCAAGAGGCAGGGAGACTTGAAGTCTAAGAAGACGGGAAAATCATTTGCCCCCTTGCCATCTCCTGCAGAATCTAAGTCCTGGAGACTCTTGGTGCCACAAAACAGGAGACTATTCAAGGCACGCGTCTGCCCTGCTCTTAAAGGGACAGTGCCCAGTGGTGCCCTTTATCACAAAATAAAGCAAAACAAGCCATACCATTGTTGCAACACTGACTTAGAAAACTGGTGTCCCTGTAAACACAGTCTCACAATCCACTAATGCTAAGGAAAAGCGTTTATCCTACGTGGCCAATCAAAGCAAAACGGGCATTTTGGCATACTTTGCAAAAGTCTCCAGTAAGAACTGTCACWTTGCCTTGGGGAACTTAAAGGAAGCCCTGGGTGCTGTCATTGCTCCGGCCTAATGATTTTCATCTCCCCGTCTCTACCCTAAGTCACGACAGGACTSTCTGGGCTGCTCTGATGGCAGTGTTGCTTCAAGAGCACATCTTCAAAAGACTCTCGGGGCATGAAATCCAGCATGCACCCACCCCCCCAGATTTTAAGCATTGTGTTGATTTCTTTCTCCACGTAAAAAGAGACACCTTGACTTTAGCCAAACCCTCGTGTTTGCCAATATCAGGATGCAAYGGCCTGCCCTTCGTGGGGTGTTCGCACCAGGAGGCGAGATCCTGGCAGGGGTGCTGTGTGCAGTGTGGGTGGGCTGGGTTGCAGCACAGAGAGGAGGAAGCCCCGGAAGACCCTCACTTCACTGCAGGGCTGATGCCTCTTTCCCACTATGGACTGGGGTGAGATGGGTGTCTCMGTTTTCATGCTCGATTCAAAATTCAGAGTTCCAATGGAACTTTCTGCAGCCCACGACATATTATTAATGTGACCATCAGAGGACGAGGGAATCTCTATCAATTTGAAATGCAATCAATAGCAATTCATTAAGAATTCATCGAGCGGCCATTTGGAATTAAATAAGGTGGGTGCAAACCCCTGCCGTCCTCATACAGACGTTCAATGCCATCGCTCCTTTTGGGAATCTGATGTGTGGGTCACCTGCTGACATGGCAGGGTTTGTTGAGTGGTGGGATGAAAGCAGGTTCTATATTTTAGGTTGTGACATTTCAGTGTTGGGTCTCTGATGTCAAAATATAGTCCAAGACACCCTGGAGCATGCACAGAGTTTCACAGGGAAGTCAGAAGCTCTAGAACCCAGCACGTCCACAGATTTAAGCCTGTGTACAGAGCACCCCGACTTCTGGCCTGCACCTTCCCCTGAGTTGTGTGTGCCCCTCTTTCAAGGCTCTGAACCTCAGACTATTCTGGCAGCCCAGGAGCACTCCCCTGCCACCCCGAGAAGGGCCAATTACAAGTGACCTGATGCTGTGAGGTGTTAGTGGAGTGCTAGGATGTCACCACCTCTCACAGGGAGAAGCGGAGGAAGTGGGGAAACAGCACGGTCATTGTCAAAGGGATTTCGTACAAATGGAGTCAGCAAATTGCTTTAAAAAAATCAGCATGCAAACCTTTGGAACTCAAAGGGTCAGACTTCACACCATGAAATGTGCTGAGACCAACTCTTTAAGTGAAATGATGCAGAGTTTGGGGGTGGTCCTGCCTGTGGGGACAGAGAGGGCCAGGGACATTTTCCTAACCCTGTCCTTCCTCTCATTCACTCTCACCAAAGACTCCAAATAGGGAGAGGAGCATTAGCAAGCAAGCTTTTTTACTGCTTCATTGACAACGGTGGCTGGTAACAGATGAGGGTCTATTTGTAAGCTCGGGCTTAATGTCTGCTTTTGAAGGTCCTGGCATGCTCAGCCAGCAATGGATGAGCTGTTAGGTCCTCCCTCGTTGGCCAAGAGCAACACACTGGCAAGATTTCCTAGTAATTATTTTGGTTATAATTTAGGCCTTAAAACCAAAAAAGAAAAAGGAAACAAAAAAAAGAAAGAAAGAAAGAAAGAAAAAGGAAAAAAAAGAAATCTGGTATTAGTTAAGACACTCACCTATCTTGGCATTTAATCAAGTAATTCCATGCTAACAAAAGTACAAATGGATAGTTCTGAACCACATCAAAGCAAAAAGACAGGCGTCATTTTGATGGACATGTCATGCAACTATGCAGTTTCCATTGGTCAGTGTGCTGAATTCAAACCCAAAAAACTTTGTCTAAGTCCTGCTACTTGAGGTATGTTTTGAAGGAAAGGAAATGGAGGATCTTCAGCTAATAGAATGAAGATCCCCTTCTTATAAGACAAAGATAATTACACTTCTCAATGCCTCTGGCTTTATAGATGCAGCCTGTTAGGGCCTATGATATTCTTCAAAGATCCCCAATAATTCACAATTCAGTCTCTGCGAACCCAGATATAATGCGTTAAAAAAAAACATGGAAGTCACAAGTCTCTGTCCCTAATCTCCCCTGATCAGTATTTCACCATAAGAATACTGATTACACCGTGAGGTTTTCATGTAGATTCATTCAACATAGTCTTATTTTTTCTGGACCATGTATTCTTAAAATCAGAAATAAAAGCATCAACGTTAGCAAAATAACTAATGTCTTTTTAGATGGCAGAGCCTGCAGGCTTCAGCTATACTCCAAAGATCTAGGATCTTTCTTTCTTTCACTAAACTTTTCTAGAGTGACCAACTGCAGCATGTGAAGAAGGGGGAAAAAAAGGATATTGAGACTTGGATGGATGCATCAAGAAGTAGCAATGTTTTTTTTACCTGCAGAGGTGTTACAAGAAATTTCATCTGCTGCAACGAAGACGAACTGATTTCTGGAAGAGAAGATAAGATTCACAATACTGCTCGCTCAGGGGGGAGTGTGCTYTCTGCCAGTTGGTTCCATGTGGACAGATGCGGGCAGGGAAGGGTGCTGCRTGGGAATGTGATGGACCTCGGACTAGAGAGCTTGGAAAGACTGTGGAACAGGCATGCGGGACCTCTTACACCAGCTCATGGGGGTGTCAGAGTGTGGGTCATGTTCAAGCTATGGCGTCAGAGTATTAATACTGTGTGTTACCAAACATCATGCCAGGGTGGGCTCTAGGGCCAGGGCAGCTGGAACTGTGCTTATGTGGATGTTTAGGCTAAAAGGAGATTACAATTAATATATACATATATATATGTGCATACACACATATATATGCTCTCTATTAGGAAAAGAGTCTACTGCAGCTAGCTAGCATCATCACCAAATTCCAGACTTCATTATTATGGTAGACTAACAAAATTTTTCTTTTTAAAAAAAAAAAAGGAAAGAAAAAGACATGCTCTCATTCTAGAAGAGAATGTTATATGGTGCCAGGTCGTGGGTAATAATTTCCTCACCAAACTAGGCTTGTTATATAAAGAACATGAGAGAACTCATCAATTGAGATAAGCCCTGTCTTTCCAAATTACTTATAATGATGCAATATTGGAAAGAAAACAAAAATGGAAAATGCTATTTTACTTTGATTTAGCAAATCCAGAAAGATGATAAAACTCTCTTAAGATGCTTCCAACTGTGACAATTCCACAGTGTAAACATGTTCTAATTCAGAGGTGGTGTTTATTTCCCTAGAAATAAGAACATATATGTCAGGAAGATTATAATGATCCGGTGAGACTGACTAGGGCCTTAAATGCCTCAAAAGACAATATCCGGGTTCCCATTTCTTACCTTTTACTGTGCATATGGCTGAGGAATCAAGATAAATGCAGTTTTTGTTGGTTTTAATATGATTGGTTTTGTTCAAATGTTTCTGTGTTCAAAAACCATCTAAGGATTGAGCATTTCTTAAAACATCTTAAGAAAGTTTTACTGYTGCATGAGGCACACCCTAGAATATCAACGGAGCTACCATTTGAATATTCCCTAGAATTTTTACATTCAGCTGAAAATTCTCTAACAATAAAACCTAAAAAGAAACCAAGCAAACAAACAAATAAAAAACTACACAGGCTTGGAGAAGGGTATTTCTTTGACATAACAAAAATCAAAATTAAGTTAATGTCTCACCTCCTTTTAAGACAACAAAAGTTAATCTCATTGGATTTTTGCTCTTTTTTTGTTCTGACATAAACTTTTTGAATCTCATGATTATTTGAGGAGGAATACAAGTGGTGTCTTTAAAAATGAAGGAGGTGTTTCAGTTGCAGACTTGTTTCCACTTACCCATGTTTGACTTAAGGGACATTAAGACACAGGCACCCTTAACATCAGGCATGATGTTTTTAGGGTGCACTTGATGGGCATCTAGAAGGACCTCTATTTACACAAAATTCACAGGAGCACTCCCATAACCAAGCATGGCGGCTGGTTTATCCAAAGGGGTAGGCTCTTTGGAATGGGCACTCACATACCCACAAGGGAGGGGTTTAGTTCATTAGGTAGCACTATCCAACTCATATTCCCTAACTCTAGAAGAGCTGGAAAGCTGTTTCTCTTCTGCTTGGTCCCTAAGGAACTCTTCGAGGAGGTGTAAACACGAGGAAAGCCATTTGGAGGCACCCCATGCAGATTCAAAATGGTGATTCCAGGAGAATCCTTCAAAAATGCAACCTACAAGTATTAGCAAAAAAATCAGATCTTTTTCTCTATCTTTTGTTCCAGAATTTTATGAAATATGGTGGTGTCCTTAAAATACTCTTCTTTTTCCCATTATACACTCCAAAAGAATTACCTTTCCCTCCCTCCCTCCCTCCCTCCCTTCCTATCTTCCTTCCTTCTTCCTCCACTTTGGCTAACCTATGTCTTTTGATTTTTTCCCCCCTCACCAAGTTCTTATGATTCCCAAAAGGAAGTTTTTAAACAAAGTGAGTCGCTTCTCCTTTGACAACTCACTCTCTTCAAAACAGTTGGCTTAGGTGATTTCTGATGATGAAATAAAATCAATCCTAAAGCATAAAGATATTATTAAAAAATGAACTTGAAGAATACGCCATGGCTTGGCACAGTGGTGTGCACCTGTTCTCCTGACTACTCTGGAGGCTGAGGTGGGAGGACCGCTTGAGCCCGGGAGTTCAGGTCTAGCCTGGGCAATGTAGTGAGTCAGTGTCTCAGAAAAAGAAAAAAGGAGCTGTGGACCTTGCAATCATACCAAAAAAGTTATTGACATTTCAATGGTACCATCTGGATGCCTCAATGTTATACTATTTTGTTTTATTTTAAAGTCACACCAACAATTCCATTACATCCCAGGAAAGTCACCATAGAGCGACAGACATGGGCCTCTCTGCAGAGCTCACTGACCCAATGAAGTCAGTTTATGAGATGCCCACCCTCTAAACTATGCTTTCATCAATTGATTATGGAGTGATCAATGGAAGGGGCTGGAGGGGCTCAGATGATGGGCTACAAGGGCAGGATTTACGTCAGCAGCTGTATCTACTATGCTCTGCTGTTGCTATGCATGGTTCTGCTTCTCTCACCTTGACCTTGAAGACCCATGATCTATTGAGGTGCCATAAATGGATTATCTGTGATGGAGGGGTCCAAGAAACCATTCACCCCAAACCTCCAGAAAGACATGAGCCAAGCTTAACTGTATCACTGAGAAGTCGGCTGTCCCCAGACAAGTTCTGGGAAAGTCAAATGACCAGAGCAATGCAGGTGTGTGCTCTGCAGAGTGGGGCCAGGGACTGCCTCCCTCTGACAACCCTAGTTTCTCCTCACTCTCAACCCAGACCCAAGGATTTAAGCAAACTGGTTTATTCCTTGGTCATAGAGGATAAAGTCTGGTTGGTAGTTCTCCACTCTGGTTGCCCATCATAAACACTTCTAAGGATGTCTGGTGACCAGGCTACACCTGAGCCTGATGGAACGGGAGTCTCTGTAAATAGGTYTCAGGTGCTGGCAATCTCTAAGCACTCACAGGTAACTCAGGTGCAGCTGCTTCTGAGAGCTACTTGGGTGGCTGAAGAACTCTCACTTTGGCTGGTGCTTAGAGTCCCAGGGAGAGGTTGCGAGTGCTCCCAATGGGGCTCTGGCTTACGTGATCTGGGGTGACTGTGTGCACTGTGGCACCATCGCAGAGTGGCGGGGAGCTGAAGCCCAGAAGCCCTTACCAGTATGGCCTCATTTTGCAGCTTCTATCTGGTTACCATGCCAACATCCAGGGCATCCCTGGGCTGCACAAGATGCAGACATGGGAACTTGCRGCTGTACCAGGGAGTTCACTGATGCCTTCTGAGACGATGAACCCCAAATCTCACTCTGGGAGGGAAGCTGGCCTCCAGTAGCTATCAGATCACTTTCTCCACGTTTGATTGCTGACGTCTCCCTCATATTTCAGCCCCTCCTGTGGATTTACTCAAGGTCATCTCTCTGTGGGTCTTTCCATATTTCCTTCTAGGCCTGCCTATAATACTACCTTCACCAATTCTTTCACCCCAACTTCCTTTCTAAGTTATATTGGTCTTACTTACCCCAGGATTTCTCAACCTTCCCTGAAGATAAAAAAAAAAAATACCTGGAAAATTTCTGAATTTTGACCTTGACCACCTAAGTCAGAATTTTTATGAGAGTGGTCTGGTAATGCTGGCATTGTGTCGGAACCCAGGCCTGGCTGTTGACCAGCTCAAGGGAACACCATCCTCCTTGTGTTCCAAGCAACAGGTGAGGAGAGGAAATCTTGGCTCCAGTTACATATTTTCATGGTGGAAAAGGCTGGGAAACTTTGCTGAGAAAGGTTTCCTGCAGGTTCACTTCCTCCCTTGAAGTTCTAAAGCCCACCTCTCCTAGGGAAGGCTTCATGGGAGAAGGCAGGGTTACTACTTTTACAAAAAAAATCAAATGGTAAATTACTGGATCCCAAGGAGAATGCTACATTTGTCTTGCCCATTGGGAATATCAACTCCAAGGGCTACTGCCTAACATTAATGGTACAACTGTCTCTGACAGAAGGTTGCTAAGAGTCATATCAAGGTTAGTAACTCATTTAATCTTATCAGCCCAGTACTTCTCTCAGCCTTGGAGGTGAGGAAACTGGGGCGTATGGTGTGGGCACGCTGCTACTCATGGGGGTGAGATAGGAAGACGGTCCMGTGGCTCAAGACGTCACCTCTCACGCATTCTCTAAGGTTCTTCCAGGGGCACTCACAGTGGTGTCTCTAACTCTTGTTCTGAATCCTCAGCTTCTTGAGACAAAAGAAGAGAGTGTTTGGATTCCTCTTTGGGTCTGATATAATCGAGGTTTCAGAGAAATCATTATGAATATATTCCACTTAGCAATGCTTCGAGATGAAGGAGTGACAAGTGGCATGCTCTTTCTTTTTATTATATCTCCAGACTTCCTTTTATTTTAAGGTGGTTTTCATAGCTCCACCATCTAGACTTTAGATCTGACTCAGCTGGCAGGATATTTAAATCAGTCCTGGGGATTGCCATAGATCATCTTCATTCCTCACTTCTCTTCTTGGGCTAAATCTCATCGCTTTGCAATTTTCTTTCTTCTAAAAATCACCCATGGCTGAATTCTAAGAGTCATATCAAAATAGTGGCCAGTCTGTACAGCCGGAGGGGATCTGAGAAGCCAGCTATCAGGGAAAGAGGGAACTTCTGACACCAGTACCTGGAAGCCATGATTGTCAATGGTCCCCGTCAAAGAATAGTGGCTTTAAGTTTTATTGTTACTCTTTGGCCTCTTAATCTCATTATATAACTATTATTACACAAAACTCAGGGATGATATCATTCATAGCAAGACTCTTCTTGGAGCAAATACTATGAATATTGAATCTCTCCCTTTTTTTTTTTCTGTCTCTGATGTATATTTAAAAATCCTTCAAGGAC